GGCCAGCCAGCCAGCCAGTTAGTCAGTCAGTCAGTCAGTCAGTCACATGACATTTAGTACATGTAGTAAATGTAGTTTTCGAATTAACAAATAAGGAAGCCTCGACTGTGATCTGTTCCATTTTAAAGCACGCAGGAAGCTTCCTAAGTGCTTTACAACAGAACAGAGCACAGTCGAATGAAGAATCTATTGATTTCCCCACACATTGGGCGGCATTTTCAAACCAAACTCTATTTTCCAAACGAGAGAAAGTGGCGTCAGCATGCATCTGTTCTCTGATAAAGCACGCTGAAATAAGCCAATAACGGTCCTTGTTAGAATTGTTCAAATAATTTGATCGGCTAACGAGACAACAGCCGTCAATCACAAGTGGCTTTCCAGAGGAGAACGATCGTTTGAAAGTTTGCATTTTCAATAGTTTAATTTTTAAGCGCCTAAAGGTTTCTAGTCCAGAGGAATCCGGCCGCATAGAGGCTCGTGAAAACGTGCAATTTTCGAATGGAGATTACGAAACAAGGAGCTCAAAGCTTGCGGATGAAAATGCAAAATGCTAAGTTGTATTTGAAAGGAGCTAAAGTTATTTACGGCTTGCAGCCGCTTGCAGCAAGATTGCCCGAACTAGCGTCAAACTTGCTAACACGAGACTGCTTCCACTGGTTCTACTCCGAGTACAGAAGAGAATATCAGAGCAAACGTTCCACTGATCACTCGAAGGGTCAGTGTTGATACGAAATTGTCGAGGTTCACTTCGCTGAGATGACCGGAGCTGAGATTGCTAGTTAACAAACGAGTGTTACTACACTGCATGTAAGTGTTGTTTAAGCATTTCTACAAAAAGAAAGCTTCTCATCAAAAACAGAGACAGCTCAATTAATGTTTTCTGTCGTTTTACGTGTATAGTATAATTTCTGCTTTCGTGACAAACGTAGGGAAGTTATTTTACCAAAATAAATGATTTTATGCAGCTTGTGACGTAACTAGAAACAGTACTTGGTTGGGGGAGTTTCTGTCATCCGGGATATAGATAAAGTAATAATAATAATAATAATAATAATAATAATAATAATAATAATAAGAAAGTTTTTTGGGCGCATTTAAAAAACTCAATGCACTTACATTACTATAAAAAATAAATTAGTTAAATCCCATAAAATATTTCTGATAACAGTAATAAATAAAATATATGAAATGATCAATTAAAATACAGTTTCTCATAAAATAAAATAAATCGAAAGTAAGATTTCCGAAACAAGAATGTTTTGAGGGCAGATTTAAAAGACGAAAGAGATGTTGTATTTTTAACAGAATCCGGTAGACTGTTCCATAATATAGATGCGGAGAAAGAAAAGGCACGTTCACCGTATGTCACAGAGTTCCCAGTAGGGACAGTGAAAAGAAGTTTAGAGGATGAGCGTAGGCTCCGTTGCGGGTGGTATTGTTGTAGGAGGGACGACAAGTAGGCTGGGCAAAGTCCATGGATAATGTTAAAAGTGATGAGCAGAAGTTTGAATATAATCCATGATTCAACAAGTAGCCAGTGTAGGCATTTAGATATCGCTAAATGTGGTCCACCTTCTCTTTTGCGTAGCATTCTCAGCAAGTGAAGGGAATTTTCCCTCCCTCCACACCCCATTTTCTCTATTTTCTACATTAGCTGGCGGTTTCTCCATCACCGTTGCTGGGCTAATACTTTGGTATGTTTGTAATTTAAGCTTTCTAAGCTTGCTATCAAAATAAACGGCCACACCTGTGGCCAATATATCTCACTTGGGAGTGTTGAGTTTTATTACCCAGCAAACAGAGCTCAGCCAAAGCAGCACCCATATGAATTATGTCTATGTTGTAATTAAGTGTGAGGAACAAGGTAGATAAAATGTCTTTTATCGAAGCGTTCGCTAGGTTGAGGATTTGTTTATTTCGCTACGTGGTGACCATTTTGTCGGCGGGAATCTAGCAAGAATTGTTGTTTTATTACAGTTTTAACACTACTGCTGTTAGCAATGGCCTCCATGCAGCCATGTTTACTGCAGACGAATAGCTCGTTTCCATTGCGTTTGTCTGAGTCACAGTAAACGTTTAATATGGGTCAAATTTGCCAAAATTCCGAAAGCAAAAATTTGAAAGCCAGCTAACCGTCATCAACCCGTGCATCTGTTCTCTGATAAAGCACGCTGTTTCAGCCAATCAGAGTGCGCGTCATATGGAAACGTTATAGAGGATATTACATGCCCGCGCGTGGATACGAATTTTATTTTCGAGTGTTCAACTCGATATCCCACGAGTGAGCGCAGCGAACAAGTGAGATATTGAGTTGACCACGAACATACTAATGACGACGCTTTTGACGATTATCCGAAGATTTCCGACCTCTTTCCGAAGATTTCCGAAGATTTCCGAAGATTTTCCAAAATTGTTCCGAAGGCCAAACGAACGCTTCCGACCACTTTCCGAACATTTCCAAACATTTTCCGAAGAGTACCGAAAATTGCCGAAGACGACCGAAGAAGATCCGAAGATGTTTCGGTCATACATCAACAAATTTAAGTGTAGTTACAGGGACAAAAGAAAAATGTGATCAAAAAGGAATGATATCTTCACAGTGTGAAAGATAAGAATAGTTTATTTTTTTCTCGAGCATCTGAGCGGGCTGGAATCCTAAATCCTCGAATTTGATTGGCTATTCATACGCACATGACCGGTCCAGCTTTTTCCGATACGGCGCGGCCCACGGGCCGGATTTTTTTCCCGCTGCCTAAATTTTGCGCCTGAAAGTTAGCGGTAATCGTCAATCGTTTGCCTTTTTTACACATCCGTCGACGATTAGTCAACGCAAGTTTATCTCTGTTCACTTTAAAATGGCAAGGAAAGTCACTTTAAGTAAATTCAATTGATTGTTTTGAAGTTGTGGGAGTTTGCTTAATTGTTTGTAGCTTGGCGCTGTAATGGCGCGTAATCCTGTGTTTCTCTCGCCATAAAATTCGAGTCAATTTCAGTCGAGTTTATCTCTCTGATCGTGGCTGTATTTAGAAGAATTTCTGTGGAATACACCTCACGAATTTCCTCGCTTTCTGCTATTTAATTTACGGTAGAAAAGTGACGAAGTGATTTTAAAAGCAACGACTGGCAGAAATTGTTTTTGTAGTAGAACTTCAAGCTTCGCACGAAATTTCACACCGCAAAAGCAATTTTGGAGAACTTAACTGGTGAAATAAATGCAACTAACACAAAGTAGTTCGAAAAAAATTTGTTTTTTAATACATCTTTCTTTGTCTACTATCTGAGTTACTCGCTCGTTGCCGAGATTTTAACAAATCGTTAGTAGACGGCGCGCAGGCCGATTCAATGACAAGAGTTGCGTAAACAAACCCATTTGTAATCCTTAAAACCAATTTACTGCAGGAAAAAAAAAAATAAACATGTTATTTGCCGGCTTACGATCGGTCCGTATGGTGAAAAACTGTGACCGCGGACTTGAAAATGCTGCCCGAGGCCTGCCTCCCAGCCGGCAAATAACATATATATCTTCACTGCGCGCCATGAAGACATGATTTTTCAGTAAAAGGAAAAATCCTAGTATTTCACTGTTGTTTATATAATAAATTATAATATATTTTTTTTTACAAACCGATTTGGAATTGTATTCTAATTGCGAAGATCAGATTGTGTATATATTTTCTAGAGTTTTCTTCTGGCATGGGGCAACCGAACCAAGCTTCATGCCTCTCTTATATTGTCATGATTGGGTTACGTGTGTTAGAAGGCTTCTCACGCTCAGAGATAGTAAAAGGTGCACTGTCATACTTTCATACTTTCAGTGGCTTTGTCACAGATCTTTCCAGTATCTTCTATAAATTACCATATTGACGTGAACTTGATAGCCTGACAGAAATCGCAGTCACCAATGTTTCAATATTCTACCATCCCGTAGTGACTGGAAGACATCCCAATTTTGTTTCATTCTAGATTGTTTCTTGTGGCCATAATATATTCAGCTCGTGCTTTAGCGTGCATCTCGCACAAATACCCGGGCAGAAAACAGTGTTTGCTTGCACCCTACCCTCTGTACTCAGATTAAGTTACGCAATTCGAAACACAACTCCGTCATTTGTGGTTTTTGGCTAAATTCTTGTCGCTGACCCAGCTCCTAGTCTGCGGCTTACCAATGTTTTGTTTTGTGTTTGATATTGTCTTAGCTCTCTTTCAATTGACCTGAACTAGCAGGTATTTAGTTTTGCAATATTACACTTTCGACAAAATCAATAGACTCTAACCTCTATTTTTTTCAGTGGTTGAGATTCAACCTGTGCCATCCAGTACTATGGGTTATTATTAAGCAAGTAAATGTTTACCAAACAATCGAGTTGTTTAGACGAATTCTGTTCAGTGGTGGCATTTGGTTTCTAATGCTTTTCTTTGTGGTTCGCTTTTGGCGTAGAGACATCCACATTCTACATTCATTCCCGGCCTCCGCTACATTGTCACAACCGTGACTCACGTTGATAAAAATAAGTTGTTTAACCTGCGCATGTCCACCAGGAGAGCTCTGATGACGGCAGATGTTTTTTTTTAGACTTGGTCAGCGGGTTTGTGTAACAGCGAAGTGCATATGCAATACTATTAACATGATAACTTTTAAGTGCTAATTTTGATGCGTGGGGCGGGAAAATTCACACAGTCGACAGCATGCATAAGTTGTTATATGACTCGAGTTCAAGTTTCTATTCTTACCGCGTTTTCTCGTTATTGTTTTGTACAAGACTTCGAAGCGTAGCTTTGAATGATTTCTTTACAATATGAGATTTCTCTTTGGGGCGGTGATTTTGTGCTTGGTTGTCGAAGAAAGTGGGCCACAGCAGCTTGTCGAAGCCTCGTCACACTTGGCAAAGATAACAGGTTGCTTATCAAGCACATAAACGTACAATCACGCTAACTTAATTTATAATCTGGCTTTCATTTAGAGACTCACGGGTAGCCGCACTTTCACCTTTTTTTTTTCGCAGCGAATTGTCGCTGGCCTCTTGGGTTGGCGAGCGGGGAGATTCAGAACGTACAAATCACAGCCCAATCGGTCTTCGAGAATGACTTCTCAACGTTTGGACCACATCGCGCCCGTCTCAACCTATCTAGCTGGCCGCCCGGTTACAGAGCCGACCCAAACCAGAGCAATGGTTGGATTAAAGTTGAAATGGGAAAGAAAATGGTGATAACTGCCATCGCCACACAAGGATACGGCGATCCGGCGGTCTCTGAGTGGATGCAGCAGTATATGGTGATGTATTCAAACGGCGGGGATTACTCGTATTTTAAAGACTTGGAAGGTAATCTTCAGGTAAGTGAAATCAGTAACAACGAAAACTGTACTGTCTCAGATTGACAATAGGCATTAGGTTCATGTTTGGTTTTAAACCGTTCATTTTGTCGACGTGTTGATGTCGCGCTGTACTGTAAACCGACATACAGTTCAATCGATCATCTCCATGTTGTTGTTGTAAAAAAAAATTATCCAAAACGTCAATGCCGTATTCTTCCAGTTGATTATGTAATAAAATCGTTGATACCAGTTCACCAGGAGGAGTGTGGCAGGTAGATAATTTGTTTAGTATTTTGGTTAGCTCTTTCGATAAGGATTTCTCGCAAATTGAAAAGTTATGCAAAAAATGTGATTTTTATCGCTCATTGCTCATGGGATTTAATAAGATTAGGAACGTCTCTGAATGTTTACACATATAACTAGGAGCCCAAGACAGCTTAGAGGTTTACGCGGTGCTGGCTGAACATACTACTTGTAGTGTTTCTAAAAACTAGACGAATTTTTGTCACCTTTTGTTTGATTTCTGATTATCATGCTTTTGACTTGTACCGAAGTACACTTATAGGCGGTGTTTTCTAAACATTTAAAGCGCTTGAAAGCTTCTTGGTTTCATTCAACACAATGGAAACTCTCACTAACACCGCAACAGATTTAATATTTAATGCACTTCAGACAGAAAGCCTGCTTCTGCTTGCTGTTTTTCAAATCATGTCCTTGAAAAATCGCATTACAAGTTGCATGAAACCTCATCATTTTAACTCTCATGGCTAATGAAATATATATATTTTTATGTTGTAATCAAAAAGTCCGCCCGTTTTGTGCGCGTAATAAGGTTTCTAAAAGAGTAACACTGAGAAAAGAGATAGACAAATGAATTTTGCATTGTTTCGTCTGTCGTGGGGCTGTGGTGTAATTACATTTGCCTCAAATTGATTGAATTCCAGAAAAAGAAAGCTAGAGAAAAATATAGGCAAGTTAGATTTTTGTTAAACTTAAAAAAACATCTACAGAGTACTGAGATTAATGCTCAGGTTTACGCGATGCATACTCACATTTATAGATTTAAATTTATGAAATAATCCAGTTAGAATCGCGTGGTTTTAGTAGAGGAAACTGTATTGACGCCATCTCGAGGTGACTCAAGCATTGTGTTTGCTTGCGGTAAGATATGCCAGTAAGCGGAAAAACTAGCATTAAGCTTTAGCGTTTGGCCGTTATTTGAAATTTAAAAATATTCTTTTTTGACGGGTGTCAAACCTATCCCACTGCGAGAATCGTGCCGTGGGTAATACACGATTCTTTTACATGTTTATACGTGACACGAAAATTATCAAAAACACCTTTAACCTTTGGGTAGAACGCTTCAATTTCACAAGCAGTTAGATGTTTGTGTTGTTTTGGTGATAAATCACATATTAACCCGGTTTCTGTTCAAAACAGTCATATTTCAGTTCTTATTTATATATTTACTTTACTCCCAAATCTACTTGACGTGCTGGTTTTCACGCCTGGTGCAAGTCAGTTCTCCATAAACCATGTTTTTGCGGCGAATAGAGTATTCTTGTTATTGCATTGTCTTTGCCAAACTTGTCAAGATTAATTACTCTTAAGTCACAATTGCCTTCTAAATTAATTCAGATGGAAATTCTAGCGATATCGTTCAACCTGCTAACAATCCCTATACGTGACCGTGCAAGTTTATATTTTATTCAGACGCCAAGAATCTTACTGCACGTTCGATGTGGTGGTCTATATCTGGGTTGATATATCCTTGGTTTACTTCACGTGGCGCGGTCATTATAAAACGATAATGAGGGGTTTTTGCCGTTTTTTAATTACCTCTATGTCCCGGAGGAACGGGGTGAAGTTACTTAAGGAAAAACGAAATGGGGTGGTTTACACACCTTTTACAGTAACAACCAGTTACCAGAGAAACAAAACCAATTCCCTCGCAACTTCCTACCCCTTATCCTTGAGTAACTCACGGAGGTTGTTTGTGATCCTTTTCAACATTGAATATCTTGACGGTTTGGTTTTTCACCTTCTTTAAGATCTCATGTACAGGGGCATAATAGCACCTAATCTAAAACTTTAAAACAATGTTGAGCATGGCACAATGTTGTACATAGAAAAATGTGTAACGGAACATTAGATGTTTGATGTTTGAGGCTGAAAGTCAGAGCCAATAATGATGATAAAAAGCCCCAATTCTAGAGAGAAATCTTGCAATTTTACGTGGTTAAAGTTGATAAAAGTAAATTAAAACCCAAGCTTTCACAATTTGGCTAGAGTTTCTACACTAAGTGGCGTATAAATTGGCTTTATCATGATCATGAAGTCGACAATTAAAGAACTACTGAGAGTCTGCACCAATTTTTGCTTCTTATGTTGGTAGATGTTTACGGGAAACAAGGACAGTAATACAATTCAGCGAAACGAGGTGCCTCTTCCCACTGTGGTCACTACAATTATGATGATGGCAGCATCATCTCATAACAACTTTGCAGTGAGGATGGAGTTATTTGGCTGTGAGCCAGGTGGGTCTAAATAATCCTTGAATCGTTTCTTGTTAAGTTTTTCTTCTCAATGCCAGTTTCGCTTCGTTTTTCCAAAAAAATAATAAATAAGAACCTCTGCATCTAATACTTTTATTTGAAACTTTTCTTAAAGCTTAAGGTTAAAACATTAGTTATCTTTTTTTTTTGCCTTTTTTATTCAATTTTACGGCGTTTTTTTTATTTACCGGACTTTATGCTGATATAGATTAAGTGAAGTTGCCACTCTAGCTTAAAAGTGTAGTCTAAAAGTGACTAAGTCGTCTTTTTGTCCCCCATACCCTGCAAACAGCCGCTAAGGGGTTTGGGAAGAAAACTGACATTTTACAATATTTTGTAAGAGAGCACAATTGTAATGGTGCTATTTCAATAATATATCAGTAAATTTCGGTACCATTATCATACTGACGATGCAATCAAGTTTAGTTTTAATTTATACAAACCAGCGTTAGAACTGCGCTCTCTCTGCTTCTAATCAAGAGATTTTAAATGTTATGGCTTTGGTCCATTGATTCTCAAGGTGTTGGGGATTACGCTGCGGGAAATTCGTGTAATGCTGGATAATGAAACCCTCTCACAAACTATCTTCTCAAGGCCGTTAGTTGCCCTTTATTTAAGTACAATACAAAACCCGGAATATTTCTGTTGAGTTTTTTTGTCTTATTGACTAGAAGCAGGTGATTCGCTTGATTCTTGTAATCTGTCACGCTGAGTTTTCCCTCTAGCCTCTGTTTTCTCAACAGGGAATGAGAACACGATTAACATGAAACGCATTAACCGCGAAACGCTTTTATCACGAAACACGTTTTAATTTCGCAATACACGCTTCTAGCAGGGCCATTTTCAGCCCTTCCCATTCAACCAAAAATTACAGTACTTTCGAAACGAGAGAAAATGGTTTTGAAATTTCCGACGAAAAGTTTCCAAAAATCCGAGAATTTATGAATTTCCGAAATGCAAACCATTCAACGCAAAAATTAGAAATCTAAATAATAATGGAAAGGAAATTCCTGGTGATAAATTTTCGAAAACTCAGGTATACTTCGCAAGGTTTTCCTTTTCATCCTTCGGAAATACTTGAAAATAATAGTGTTCTATTCGCTCCGTAAGGTTCTGAGAATTCAAACCGGAAGTTTTGGTCGACCCCTTGTAAGCCCAATTCTTAAAAGAAATGCTGACAGGCAACAAATTAAAACAACAACAACAACAAAAACGACAACTTGTTACCTGAACGATAGCCCTTATATTTCACCAGTTCAAATCTACGGTTCTTGCTCCACTTATTCGTATCACGTGGAATTGTTATTTTCTTTTAACAACGTACTAATTCAAAACATCTTTCATATTATGTTAACGCCACAAACCTCAAATTGGCAGTGATAATTCTTTATGCGGCGAATTTAGCAAGAGTATCACAATTGATCTAAATGAATTTCTTAAGGATCCTAACCGTTACAGTAACTCAGTTTCATAATTTCCGGCGACTGAACGTTTTTGCTTTGTTAACACCAAGAGTATGCCATTCTTTGATAAAGTTGCACTCCACGAACTGTAGATGTATAAACAGCTTTATCTTAGGTTAGTTTTTATAATTAAATATAGCGGGTTGTCCAGGGTTTTGGTAAGATGGAAAATCATCTGCTACTTTTCATCCATTTTCAAGGAATTTTACCAAGGTTGGTTATTCAATTACAGTTTGCGGCTACAGGATACTAATATTTGAAAAAAAAAACGAAAAAAAAAAAACACTATTCTGTCTCGAAGTTTGAGCTTTTGTAACAAGGCTTAACGCCAAACTCATTTTCTTGAATCTCTCCTTCTATGCCGTGTCACTTTCTAACTACAGTTTACTCCTAAATTCTGTCTTGCCTTCCTCGAGAGAACTCGATGGAGTCATCAGTCCATTAATGGAACCGACTCGATTCTTCATTCAAATATTTTTATAAGCAAAATGCCATTTTGAGACGGCATTACTTTTTTTCAATACGAAAATATATTTTCTCTATATGCCGCCAATATAATCTCGAAATCGCATTTTTGATTTTGTATTGTTATTTAACCATTATTTGAAAAATCCAAACGAAAGGCGACTTCATTCTTCATTTCATATCTATTTGAGAAGTGTATGGTTCAATATTAAAACAGAATCTAATCTTGGTTTGATTTGTGTGTAGATTCACGGACAGGCACGATTTTGAAAACTATTTCCAGTTCGCATTAAATATCAGTTAGATGAAACAAATTATTTTCTCGCTTCTCTTTGTCCCAGCCTTTTGAAGCTCTTTAGCACATGAAAAGTCCAGGGGCCCGTTTCTTGAAACTCCCGAATAGTTTTCATACCCGAAAAGCCGTAGCAAAATCTCAAACCTTAGACTTCAGAGCTGTTTTATGCACGTATTCTTAATATGATCAGAGGTTCCCTTCATATAAGAAGTTTCAGGCGTATACACCTCTCTGTCTTTAAATACCGATTAACTAAAAATGGCTTTGCGGGCCCGAAACGTTTCCGGGGCTTTCGAGAAACGGGCCCCTGGCCCCAGTTGTTCGAAGACAGGATAACGCTATCCACCAGATAAATCACTATCCAGGGGATAAGTGTTAACAAAACAAACCACGCTATCATGCACTGCATAGTGATTTATCTGGTGGATAGCGTTATCCACCTTTCGAACAACCCGGGCCTGGTATTGCGAGAACATTGAACTGAAAGGAAATGGCGAACGGAATTTGGAAAGACGCGATATTTGACAGTTGATATTTAAGGCAGAATTAATTATGTAAATTCGAGGCGAATTCTCCACGAATCCTCTTTGGAAGAAAGCCAGAGAGAAATATTTTGGTTTAATCTAGTTTAAAAGTTAACGCTTAAATTAACGTGTTAACATTTACCATCAAAACTCTGCTTATTTTTGAAACAGAGGTTCCACGCCGAATTTAACGACCTTTTTAGCAGTTTAGTTGAATACTTTTTTCTTTACACCTTGAGCTACAATATTCTCTCTGTCTGCCTTGATTGTGCGGAAGGACGTTTTTTGTCTGCTTTCAGCGTGACGGCAAATATTTTTTTAACATGTTCAGTTCGTTCTTATCACTTATCCAATCAAGTCTGCGAGGAAAATGTTCAGTGTTTCCAAGGCCAGAACAAGCTAGGCTGTCAGACAAAAAGAGAATGCTTCAAATTATGCCAAATCAACCGCTTACCTCGAAAACCCAGTTTTGACAGTTTTGTAAAATTTACATGTAGCGGTTACTGATTGAGTATATTCGTTAAAAATAACTTTTTTCGCATTTATACTATAATCGTGACTTTCTTTGGTACTTTATTAAGGAGCGTGTGATAAAGGAAACACAGCATATTTATGTCTACCTATTTGCTAAAACTTGTACCAGTTGATTAAATGCATGTGGGCTTCAGGCTTTGATGATACATGGAATTGCAATTTGCGGTAGAGAAATATTTGACATTGACATTGCGAAAAGTTGCTTTTAAGCCAGATAATTCATATTTATATAAAATAAAATTCCTATTTTCCCTTTCATTCATTGAGGTCATTGAACCTTCCATGGCGTGGAGTACACCACATGATACAAAGTAAAGGAAATCATGAATAATGATATTTATTTACTGCAGAAGATAAGCTTGATATTCTCAACATTTGTTGCACTCAAATAGAGACACGTTCTGGACGAGTTTGTACCACTTGAATCCCCCCACTCGTCGCCATCCTTGTCACATTTGTTGATTTTAAGTCCTTTGGTGGTTTCTTGCCTTATTTAATTAACTATTATTTTGAGATACAATGCAATGCAGTAATGACTGAAAAAGATCTGAAAGCAATGTGTATTGCCTCACGTAGTTATTGTAAAGAGACTTTTCTTCATTTTTAGGTTACTATTTCGTCGTTTGGCTTATGCTGATGGAATTCAGCTTCACTACCACATACCTAGATAGTCAAAAAGCAGAATATCAAGTCATAGCCGATGACGTCATGTTTGAGGTAACTTATACTATGGGGAGCACGAATTCCTAGCTCGCGTAAGTGATGTCTAAACGGCAGCAGTTAGGGCAGCTGTATCGTCTGCTAAAAATAAAAGCACAGCAATATGTTAAGTTTATAAGTGGAGTTGGGAAACTATCCAGTTAAGATGGGATGCCTTCATTGAAAAGTCCCCAGCTCTTGTCTCCGAAGTTTTCTGGCAACAAAATGTGTTCAAACTGCCTCTTCAGGGTAATCCGAAACTTCTCGAGACTTGCTTGTTTCAGCAGGTAATAGCTCAGCATCATTTGAGTTTTCAGTCCACACCTGTCTGAACGTTGCCGGACAGGACCATTTTGGAAATGGTAATAACGTGATGATTCCATTTCCGGAAATGGGGAAATGGAGGAGAGGACGGGACGGGCTAATTATGCGTTGTCTGTTAACATTGCAGGCCATCTTGCATTATGAATCTCTCACTCGCTTTTTCTTTTAGGTTAAAGATGTTCTAGAAAGAATTCCTGGATTCTTGTCCTCTAGTCTACTGCGGTTCAGGTACTTGATTGCCACTCGTGTTTGATTTTCTAAATTGTTTTCAGTTGCTTTTGAACAAGCAAAAAAATAAAATCACCTTATATAAACTGTTCGATACCTCATGAGGGACAAATCGACAGGGCGATAGTTTCGTGGACGGGTATATTATGAAACACATTCAATTTCAGATTAATTTTCGTGTGACTTGCAAGTGTAAACAGAGCTTGGGAATATATAATTTCCTTCCTTCAGTCCACAGACGTCTGGCGCTGAAACAAAGCTAACAGCAGAGCTAAGAGTTGGATGCATTGAAGCTAGTGTACACGACATCACAGCAGCTCTCACAAGCTCCTTAGAAGCTAATGAAGGGTTGTTCGACCCACATTACGTCAAACTGCAATATCCTTGTGAGTACTTTTTTTTTTAATTTAATTTAATTTAATTTTTTTAAATGAAGCACTTTATTAATACACCTAAAACACACGTACATTACACTTACATGCACTGTTGAAGTTTTACAATGTTCAATAACTTTTCTCATACATAAAAGAAAAAGAAGACGTGACAGCTAAGTAACTACACAGAACAAGAAAAAAAATATAATATACAAAATATACAAATACAACAAAAAAAAAAAAA